CCCATACTATTTGGTACCATTGGTCCATGCTTGCTCCTGACAGGTCTCTCCAGTGTCTGGTTATGGTGTTTCTGGCTGCTGAAAGTACATTTCCAACCAAATACACCATATAATAGCATATATACTCAAAGATGAGACAAAACAATGGGTACACCTAGAGAGGGACACAACTGAAAATATCTGCACTTCAAGTTTATTAACCCTGCTTCGTTCGCTCTGCTTACAACATCATCCAGTCCTGAATGCTGTTTAAGCAGACAATGGAACTGTTTCTTTAACACATATTGGCAGTGAAGCAGTTAACAATGATGGCAGTAGGTGTAATCCACACCATCCTACTATGACAAGACTTTCACTGATTGCATTTGCAGGAGGGCTCCTGTCTTAAACCAATTATGCACTCCCTAAGATGCCATAATGCCTTTTGTCTTGCTACAGTAGACTCAACACAGCTTCATAAATGGCATTTCTTTCTCCTTTCTGGGATTTCACATCCACATATGCTCTTGGCAATGGCTGCTTGTGCTGCAAAACAGACATGCAGTATTTAAGCAAACCCCACCTCCCACCCCCATTTCTCTCTATCTTTCTCTTTTAAATGCTATTGTATTTTATGATTGGTTTAAATCGCTGTCAGCTTTTCTGGGTGATGCATAGCCAACAGAATGGCAGGATATCAGTTTTCATATGAATAAATACATTAGTGACGCAGTCCCAGCATTTATCTTTGGCAACTGATTTTAATATCTGTGAAGGGTCCCACCATTAAAAGAGGCTCAGCTGGTGCTTAGGGAACAATCATTGAAGCATCAAAGTGGTCTTCAAGGGAAAATCTGACCTTTGTTGGACTTCCTTACACATTCTTCCCTCTTTTTTGTATTCTCATTACTTACTCCCAACAAAACCAAGGGGCGGACTCCTAATGTAGACTGAAATAATGCGAGGATTAGCACCTGACATATGTGCATTTACATCTCGGCATATATTTAAATTTTGTGTCATTTTAGAAAGTAATCTTTTATTTTATGTTTTAATATTTTTATTTTGAATTACCTATTGGGAGGCACCATAATCTTTTCAGCGTTTAGGGCCTCTAATGGTCTTCATCCAGCCCTGAATTTAATCAAAAGCAAAGGATATCAGCACCAGCATGGGCTGGTTAAAACAGAAAATGCAGAAACGATCTTGTCCACTGTGCTGCTGCAGTTTGAAAGGATTATATAGGGAAAGATGAAGCTTATAATTTCCTAAATGGTAATTTTGCACAATGTTCATTCAAAAGCCTTGGGGTGGTATTCAAGGAATACACACTGAAATTAATGTATTTAAGTTAGTCAACATATATTGACTTCAACCAGTCTGTTCTGAGTAAGACTAGCTTTGAATTGGTCTGAGTACTCAATTTGCTTAAATGATCACTGTTGGGAAGTGTTTTAAACAGGGGTCAGCAACCTTTTTCAGCTGTGGGCTGGTCCACTGTCCCTCAGACCTTGGAGGGGGGCGGACTATATTTGTGGGGGGGAATGAACAAATTCCTATGCCCCAGAGATGCATTTTAAATAAAAGAACACATTCTACTCATGTAAAAACATGCTGATTCTTGGGCCGGATTGAGAAGGCGATTGGGCTGCATCCGGCCCATGGGCCTTAGGTTGCCTACCCCTAGTTTTAAACATCTAGGGCAGTGTTTCCCAACCTTTTTTGGGCAAAGGCACACTTGCTTCATGAAAAAAATCTCGAGGCACACCACCATGCCAGATGGGGAAAGGTCACTTTTTACTTATGTAAAAAAAAAAAAAAAATAGTAACAGCATAGAAGGTAATGGTTAGGCTAGCATCCCTCTTCCAAATATGCTAGGTTTTTATTTGCAGGGACTGTTCTACATGGGAAAGCATTCAGCACTGTCATTCTCCCATCTGCCATCTGAATTGGTACTATTCTGGGTCAACTTACTCTGCTGCATGTGTAGATGAAAATGGCACCAAGTGTGGGGGAGGGGGCAGAACAGGTTTCAGATACAGGATATTAAGCATACACGTACTTCAGATTGAACTGGTTGCTTGCTTTGCAAGTTTTCATTTCCCAAATGACTGCCTTGGCAAGCGCAATACCTACCAGGCTCAACGCCGCTCTCGCGCTACCGCTTCCCGCGCTCTCAAGGACCCGGGAGGAGGAAGGCGTGAAGGGAATCCCGAAGGCGCGAAAACCTCGCGCATGCGCAGGCCTTCCGCCTGCGACAGCCCAGTAGGCCGGCCGAAGCGAGCGGCAATGGGATGTGGGAGGGAGGGAGCTCGCCACCCCGCGTGTGCCTATGTGGGGCACGTTACAGCCCCGTGACGTCAGCGCCACGCAGGCAGCCAGGCAGGCAGACGGCGAGAGCCCCGCGCTGGGCGGCCTCTCCTCGCTGCCGCCCCGCCTCTCGCCGCCCGACTCGCCCGCCTCCCTCCCACGGCACACCAGGCAACGTCTCGCGGCACACTAGTGTGCCGCGGAACACCGGTTGGGAAACACTGATCTAGGGAGCAAGGCCTGGTTTTGTTTGTTTTTCCTTTTCCCTTTGCAAGCCACTTTGAGGGGTTTTTAAAAAAACAATCAAGCGCTGTATAAACTTTGGTAAATAAATGCCAGTTGCAGGAAACTGCAGGAGAGAGTGCTCTTAGAATCATAGAACTGCCAAGTTAGAATCGATCCCGTGGGTCATCTATTTTTTTTTATTATAAAATATTTATTGAAAATTTTAGACATTGTAATCACCAAACAGATATAGAACCATCACCAAAATACAATAAACAGAGAAAGACACAAGAAAGGAAAGGAAAAGAATTGACACATAATACAAAAAGCATACCACATCAAAATCAAATAGTTAATAACCATACTTTCTTCACTTTTTGGACTTCCTCACATCTCTCGTTCCTGCGTTCCTAGTCTATAAAATTTTATACAGCAATTTATCACCTTGTTTCAATTCTTATTTTATAATTTTCCATTATCGTGTCTCAACTTTAAATACTTTTATCAAGTTTTTAAATACTTAATTTGGACATACTATTAATCCTAAGTTTGTCTTTTTCTCAGGTTTCACCTACTCTCATATTCCTTTCAACTAGCTTACTGATGCCATGTTATTTTCAATCTTACATCCTTCTTAACACTCATACAGTTTACAATGTTTTTGTAAATAGTCTTTAAATATTTTCCAATCCTCTTCCACTGCTTCTTCTCCCAGGTCTCGGATTCTGCCAGTCATTTCTGCTAGTTCCATATAGTCTATCAGTTGCATTTGCCATTCTTCCAGCGTGGGGGATCCCGTGGGTCATCTAGTCCAGCCCCCTGCAATAAAGAAATCTGATAGTGCATTTGGAATACTTCTTTTGTCTTTAATCAATCTTGAGTTACAACACCCTTAAAATGAAGAGTCTCATGCTCTACGACGGATTGAGCAATCCTGGGTTATTTTTGCACTCAGGTCCTGCTTGAAGGCTTCCCGCAGACAGACATCTGCCTGGCCATCGTGAGAACAGACTGCCGGGCTACTAGGTGGGCTCACCTTAAGGTCTCGTCTTCCTTATAATGACTTACTAATAATTGTATACAGTACTCATCAGGATACTGCCAGTACTTATTTACCTATAGATCGTATTCTATTATCGTCTCAAGCACTTTTTCCTTTCTTTTTCTCTCCTCCCCCTGCGAGAAATCTCCCCCCCCCCCCTATTATATCGAACATTTCTCGTGTTCCTGACCACATGCCAAAGCCTGGACACAGCCCTGCGCGCTGCAAGAAGGTCCAGCACCCCTTAACGGTGCTTTCACAGTCCCTCCATCTTTGACAGCGGCCTTCCTCCTGGCTTCCCGCGAGCCGTGTTTACATTCTGCCGACAGGTCCACGTTGCCGAGCCATTCGGCCTTCTGATTGGCCGCGGCGCGCGGCGCGGCTCCGCCCAGAGGTGGAGCCCGACGTGGCGAGCTGTCTAAGCGCGCGTGTTGCTAATGCCAGGCCGAGAGCCGCGGCCGGCGCAGGAGCCATTCTGGTTGCACGGGCTCCCGGGAACGCAGCTGACACGGCTTTGCAGGGTTAACGAGCTGTTAACCGGTATGTAAAAGACGCGCAACAACGGGCTGAGAGGACGTTTGGGGAGGGAGGAGGGCTGGTTGCTTCCATAGCTGTCAACTTTCAGATTTGGAAATAAGGGATCGGCAGCCTCACCTGTCCTGGGGACAGTCTACGGGATATCTAACAATCCAGGATAGCAGCGGGAAACTGCGCTGGAATAAGGGAATTTCCCGCAAAAAAGGAAAGGTTGACAGCTATGGTTACTTCCCCCACCTGCCTTGGCGGGGGGCTTCTCCCCTCCCGCCTCGGCTGTCAAAGCCCCATGGGTGCCCGAGCACCCACCCAATTCCCCATGAAGGGGCCGGGCACCCACACATTTCGGGGCCAGGGCCTTTCATGCGCACTGCATGGCACCCACGGCCCCGGAGAACCAACGATCACGGGGTCAAGCTCTTGCAAAAGCCCCGTCGCGTCTCCGAGTCGCGGGCACAGCCGGTTGCCATCTACGACCGGCCTCGGAGGCGAGCGAGCATTAGGCGGGACTGGCGGGGGAAGCGGGACGTCCTCCTAAGGGGACACACTTACGCAATGTCCTCCCTCCCGGGGGGGGGGATGGCTGGGCGATGCGCGGGAGCGTGCACCGGGCGTGCCTAAAAAGCTGCCCTGCTGTCATTGCATATAGTATATTTTTGGTGTGTGTGTGTATATATATATATATTTAGTAGTGCTTCCCTCTCCGAGGGGAAAAAAACCCCAGCAGGAACGAGCCGGGGGTTCCTAATGTCTGTCCGCGGCTGGGAATCCGCGAGGTTCGTCCTTTTTGCAGCGAGCGGGGCGCCGGGCGCGCTCCACCTCGGGGTTCCGGGGCGGTCGGGCGGGAGAACTCGCAGCCCGGGAACTGCAGGCGGCGACGAGAGGGCTGAGCTGGGACCCAGGCCGGCGCATGCGCAGGCGGCGCCCTATATAAGCGCCTTGGCGCCGGCGCCAGCTGAGAACAGTCCAGGTTTGGGCGGCAGCGGCGGCTGAGGTGCGGACTTGGGGGGTCTTCTCTATGGGGCGGGAGGGCGGCAATGCTCGGGAAGGAGCTGGATGGCGGGCGAGGGCAGCTGGGGCTGCTCGCGCCCTGCTGCTTTCGGCCTATATGGGGAGGGGGGCTGGCTTTTTAAAAACTCCCCCCTCCCTGCGTGTGGTGAATGTCCTGGCGAGGAGGGGGCTGAGGGTGCCGGGGCACCGCTTAGGGGGCTGCCCCAGAAAAGCGCTGAGGGGGTGGGGTGGGGGAGGCAGCGGGCGGCAGGGCTCCTGCGCCGGCTGGAGAAGGAAGCGGAGCCAGAAGGCGGGATGCCCGCCCTCCCAGCTCGCCGGCCGGGCTTTTTTTGGAGGGAGAATGAGGCGGCGGCGAGGAAAGAGCGGGGATCCCCCACCCATCCGGCCCGGGGGGGGCCTCTCGGGGGCCGAGGTGGGGGGTGGCGAGGCGGGAAAGTGAGGTGTCTCCCCTGCAACGCATTGTGGGAGGGGGGAGTTGCTCCCGGTTTTTCCTAGGTCGTCTCTGCCTTTTTTGGGGTGGGGGCGATGGGGGTCTCCCTATGGGGGACCCTTTGCACCCCCGCCCCACCCCCGGCAAACCTGTTCCTCTCGTCGGTGTGGTCTGGGAACTGGCTGGGTCGGCCTGCCCTCGCTGGGCGTGTGAGGCTTTTTTGGAGGGAGAGCGACTCCCTCCTCCGGGGCGGGGGGCGGGGAGCCCGCCTGGTGGCTTCCCGGGCTGACCCGAGAGCACTTGCCTCCGTCTTTCGCCCCCTGACCCTTCGGGGTGTTTTTGCGGGGGGGGGGTCTCCACAGAGGAAAAGGTGTGTTTCGGGCGGCGGAAGGGATCTTCCCCCTCCCCTGTTGGGCTGGAAGGCGGGAGAGGTAGGTTGGGGTGCGGGGGTCCATCCTGCAGAAGCTCCCCGCTTTGGCTCTGGACTCGATTTATTGGGGGACGGCGGGAAGAGAGGGGGGCGCTTCTTGCCTGGGGAGGGGGGCTGTGTTTGTGGGTCTTTCCCTCTCTTGCTGTCTTGATGCAAGGAGGGGGGGGAGCAATCGGGGTTTCTACTCCTATCCCGTGCACCCCCTCTGTAACATTTCCTCTTTTGCAACCCCAGTATATAGGGGGTCGTCTACTCAGCATATATAAGTGTAGGCGGGAAATGCTTTTCTTAAAAAGAGAGCGAGAGAGAGAGCGCTCTTGCCCGCCCCCCCAAAAAACTCCCTCCGGTATCCCTCCCCCACTTTTTTTAAAAACACTGTGCTCTTTTCTTCATTATTATTTTTTACGTTTCACCCTCTTAGGGCAAGCGGGAGTTTCACCCGCATGCTGGATGGAGGGTGGTGGCAGAGTCCAGCCTGCTGTTGCCGCCTCCTGCATTTACCCGCTTTCTGTAAATTGGCGCGGGCCGGAGAGCCGCGTATAGCTGGCTCGGCAGCTTTGGGGGGGGGCTCCTGAATCTGCTGCCCCCCCGCCCTTCCCGCTTGGCAGGCAGCGGGGAGAACAAATGGCAGAAAGAGGAGGGGGCAGCTCGAGTCTTTGTGGTTTACTTAGTTCACTCGAAACAAAATGTGTGTCTTTGCAAAAAGTCATCATAAGTGATAAGATCCTAGTGAAAGTACTGTAAAGCGTGGCAATCTCCTTGCACGTAGGATTTTGGTATGTAAACTATATTCATGTACAGTAATAGCTGTTTATAGACATGCAAGTAGTCTCTGCTCCTGACAATGCTATGTATGGGGTTTGATTCTGAGCGCACGGGGCATACATATTTGCAAAATATGCAAACCAGCACTGCTTATGATTGATGGGGGTACAAAACTTGCAAGTCGGCAAATCTTACCTTGGGACTACATGCTCATAGCAGAGTTCTCTGAGGAAGCAAATGGAATGGTGCCTGGAGCAAGGCATGAAGTGGAACAAAATGGCTACTGGCATTGATGCTGGGAGGCAGCAGATGGAAGCTGGTTGAACCTGAAATTGACCAGTGAGCACATGGATGATGAGAAAGGGTGACCTTCAGTTTTGTGTGTGTAAAGAACTGTTGCTTTGAGCTGAGATGGAGGCAATTAACACAGACCACCCTTACTAAGAGGGATTGCGGGGTAATGTACTGCCAGTTCACGTCTCTTAATTCAGGTGTGCAGGGTTTTTCAGGGACTGGAACATGACTAATGTGGGCAGTTTGCCCAGATTTCCTGTTCCAAGCGCAGGATTGTCACGAGGTAACAGGTGCCTGCCTCCCTGTGGAACACTTGTAGGCTCCTGGCTGTACATAAAAATGCCTTGCCCACGATGTTGGGCAGTTGCCATTTGGATGTTCTTGGTCTCTGCTACTTTCTGGAAATATCTTTGGGGTTTAGGCAGCAGGCATGCACACACTGGGAGCTGGACTTAATTTGAGGGGAAGGCCTGTAGCTCAGTGGTACAGTATCTGCTTTACACATTCAATCCCCAGCGTTTCCGGGTAGTGCTAGGAGACAGCCCTGCCTGAACACCTGGAGAGCCACTGCCAGTCAGTGTAGACAGTACTGAGCCAGATGGACCAATGGTCTGACTTGATGTAATTCATGAGCTAAACAGCACTTTGTTTGTACTTTGGGTTAACCTATAGTCTTCTCTCATTTGCAGGCAACTATCTGGAATCCTAATAAGATGTCAAGGCGCAGGTAAACATCACTTTTATAATATGCTAACTGTATACAGTCTGACTGCAGCCCATAAATATATGCCATCATAAAAATGGTTAGTCTTTAAGGGGCCACAGTGTATGTATAGCAATGCTCTCTACTGCTGTCTTGATGGGAAAATGTATTTACACTTCCACAGTAGTCGTTTACAAGCCAAGCTGCACCAGCCCTGCCAGGATACGTCTCCTCAAGAACTGCAGCTGCCAGAGTCTCTTCAGAACAGAAAAAGGAAAGCAATGCAGGTAAGTAGGAATTGAAACGGTCTCCTGGAGCCAGATGTGGTTAAGAATATGAGCAGGATTGCGTTGTTCAAGCTGAAACAAGAATTCACGGCATTGATATTGGTAAAACCACCTTCCTCTTGGCCTCATCCTCACATCTGAAATGTAGAGATAATGGGTGGAATTCAGCACCACACTATTACAAATGTTCCGTCTCTGCAAGCATATCTACTTGCCAAGTGGGACAGTGGCACACTGTTCTAGGGGTTCTCCCACCCACTCCAGAGCCAATTTCAGGGACATACAGTACATGAGGGGAGGGGAGGGAAGCCCCATTGTGGAAGCCTTTGAGCAGGCCTTCTGGGGATGGGATTTGTTAGGTGAACCCCACACCATATTTGCAAATAAGGCAGACATCGGCACCTGGCACTCTCGAGTGGTTGCCAAGAGGCTGCTGATGTTGAAGTCTCGAATTCCTTGGTCTGCTTCTTCCCCCACCCCATCCCAATTTTGGTTTGTGCGGAGCTTCCCCAACATTTTATATTTTCCACAATAACCAAAGCAGCTCATTGTTTCTGTGGTTTGCAGGCATCTGCCACAGATCACAGCTCTGTTGCTGCCTGTCCACGCTGCCAAGTCAAGGGAAGGGGTTCTGACACTAAGCAGCACTTTGTCAGGGAAGATTTTAAACCTCGTCCTGGCTCACTTTGCATATCACTTTTTAAGAATTCTGGCATAATCTGTGAAGGATATGAGCAGCAAGACCACTATGCCTGTTATTTTTTGTATGCTGTTGGGTGCTATTAAGAGCATTCTGATACTTGCATAATGTTTCCTCCGTTATCCCTTTTTTTAGTTAGGGGAAGTATTTGAATTATCACTGTTTAATAGCTGTGATCAGTGGTTGGGCATATGTTGCCAGTAAATGACTTTCAAAAATGAATAGTTGTGCACTGACGGCTTTAATGCTCCTATTTTTGAGGGAGGGATTTGAAATTGAGGGAGCCCTTGATGTACCAGGAGAATTTGGCTTCACTTGGTTGCTGCTTTGCTCTTAATCAAGGTGCATCTGTGTCTGTTTTCCAAAGGACCCCACGAGAACAGAAGAGATCAACATGAGACATCAGTATGAAATTAAGGTAATAATGACCTGCGTAACCATTGATTTTTAACTTAAGTTGGTCTGCGTTCTTCAGTATGTATGAGAATTTAGATTGTTAATGTGGTGTCCATTGTGAGCAGGAGGTTCTTCACTTTTTGTCAGGGAAAGCAGCTTTTTTCTTTTTAACTAAATACATAAGGGAGAATTAATGACTCCAGCTGCATAGTGTGTGATTTGTATTCATTTTGTTGTGTTGGCTGCTGCAATTTGTGTTCAATGAATATTTCACCACTGAAAAATTTACTTTCAACTGCCAGGAATGTATAGTGTTAATTATATCACTTCCCAATATCCCACCTAATGTCTTGCTGCTGCAAGGGTTTGGATAAAATGCTCTAGCGTTTGATTTGCAAGGCCTAGTAAACATTAGCTGGTTGATGATCTACCGTATTTTTCGCCCTATAGGACGCACTTTTCCCCCTCCAAAAATGAAGGGGAAATGTGTGTGCGTCCTATGGGGCGAATGCAGGCTTTCGCTGAAGCCTGGAGAGCGAGGGGGGTCGGTGCGCACTGACCCCTCTCGCTCTCCAGGCTTCAGGAAGATATCCGCTAGCCGTGGGAGACGCAGCTCTCCCACGGCTAGCGGAGAGCTTGCCTGCACACAGAAGCCTGGGGCGCGCTGAGCTCAGCACGCCCCAAGCTGCGACTTCGCGCAGCTCTCCCACAGCTTGCGGATAGCAGCCTGTTCTGGGGGCTGGAGTCGGGGGAAGCTCAGGCTTCCCCTGCCCCAGCCCCGCACCTGGGGGGGAATAATTTTTTTTCCTTTATTTCCCCCCCAAAAAACTAGGTGCGTCCTATGGGCCGGTGCGTCCTATGGGGCGAAAAATACAGTATTCTATGTGACAGTGAAAAGGTTTCAAAAGGCTGGGACAAATTATGCTACTCATAAACTATCTTGCTTGGTGTTGTATGTATTTTTCTCATGCTAGCTCTTAATATCTCATTTGTAGAGTTGTTGGCCATCTACAATATCAGGCGGCATCTCCCCTTGTATTATAATAGAAACTCCTCACAAAGAAGCGACAACCACTGATTTTTCCAGATTCAAAAAATACAGGTTCAGAAACCTCTTCATAAATCCATCACCTTTACCGGAACTTAGGTAAGTTACCTATAACCAAAAGCAATTGTGATGCTGCTATACTTTGATATGTCAGCAAAGCGAATGTAGTGCAAAACCCCTGTGTTCTTCACCAATTTGTATTGGTGGGTACTCTGATTTGGAGCTAGTGGCATATAGAAAACACAATGAGGAACACCACTAAGAAAACCGTCTTGTTTTAGTCCTTGGTCTGAATGCTTTGCCTATCATCAAGGGCAATATGTGAGCTGTGAAATTTTGATGGACAAATTATATTCCAAGGTGTCATCTGTGTGTGATGGAAATTTCATATAAATCTGGCATTCTATGAAAAATGTGTTAAGATCATGTCTGCAAGTATTGTTGCTGTGTAGTCTCTTATACTGCTAACTTTTTGGAACTGCACTGACTAGAATAGTCTTCCTCAGTACAGTGCCCTCCAACTTAGATGTGCTACCTCCCCGTATACACCACCTCTCCCCATATAAACATACCTGGACTCTGCGATTATCATACGAGGCCCTTCTTTGTGGGCCCCCCTCCACGAGAGGCCCAGAGGGTGGCAACACAGGAATGGGCCATTTCTGTGGTCACTCCCCATTTGTGGAATTTTTTCCCCTGGGTGGCTCACCTGGCGCTTTCACTACACATCTTTAGGCACCAGGTGAAAGCATTGATAACCATGCTATGAATATTTTATTGCCTTTGAAATGGGTTTGGGGGAAGAGGGTTATTGATTTGTTTTTGTTCTATTACGTATTTTTTGTTCTCATATTTTTACGTTGTGAAACCACCATGTGATCTTTGGATGAAGGGTGGTATACAAATTTAATCCATAATGAGAGGACTCATAGGAACTGTAGTCTGAAGCATCTGAAGGGCATCAAATTGGGGAAGACTGGACTACAAGAAGGTGGCTAGATTGGGAACAACACATTCATGCATATAGTAAAGAGAAGCACCTATACCGTATTTTTCATCTATAAGACACCCCCATGTATAAGACGTCCCCTATTTTGGGGGACTCCAAATTAAGAAAATGGGGAGGATAACTCAGAGTTGTTTAGCTTTTTTGTGGGGGGAAATTGCCGGAAATCGCTCACCCGCCACTGACAATTGCATGCATTGCTGAAGTCACGCAGTCGCCAAATGGCGTCCTATTGCCGCAGCGGCAGCCAATCACCAACAGCCCTTCTCACAGCTACCAATCACCCACACTATCGCCACTGTGAATCTCCTGCTCACGGCTGTGACCAATCACCCCCCCCCCGCACTACCCATGTATAAGACGAGGGCTAATTTTAAAGCTCATTTTTTAATTAAAAACCCTTGTCTTATAGATTGAGAAGTATGGTATGTGTTGGTTTCCATGTCCTTTCTCTTTCCCTGTCCTGCTTGAGTGAAATTGACCATTGTTCTGAAACTGCCCAATTGTCAACCTAGTCCTAATATAGTCATTCATTGTTGTCAGTCAGAAAAATCATCTCTCAACTTATCTGACAGAAAACCTGTTACAGTTTTGCTTAATGACAAAATGACAATAATTTGAAGCAATTGTTGAAAACTTACTGTCTTCTGACAAGTCTCTATAGCCACTTAAAAGCTCAGTGAATTGATTACTGAGTAATATCTACCTCTTTTCAGTTTTTGCCCTTGAAGGCATGCAACATTGACCATCCTTGATTGGATTTACAAACCTCAAAGCAACTCCATTTGATCAGGGGCAGCAGCTGAAGGGAAGAGCAAGCACCTTTTATTATGCTTGTCATTGGCATAATTAAATCATAGAAATGGCGCAGGGGTGAAGGATTGAAGCCTCATCCCAGGAATACTACCTCAATCTCTTATCTTGTTGGGAGTAGGAAGTAGCCATGCTGTGAGACCTTTCAGTTGAGAGGGGCTAAAATGCTATAAAGAAATGTTGTCCCATCCCTTCAGCTCCCTTTAAAGTCTGAAAAGTCAGATACAGCCACCTGCATCATATGTAGTCTTCAGGCAAATGGACTTTTCTTTATCTGTTCTACCTCGGATTTTTTTAAAAAAAACTGTATTTCATGAAATCAAACAAGTTCGAGTAGAACCCCTTTGGAAAACTAAGGTCATTAGAGTTTGGAGGCTAGAAATAATACATTGAATGCACTAAATCCAAGCATTTGGCTTCATGCCATTGAAGTCCAATTTTTGCTGAGACCACGTATTTTATGTCTTTAAAAATAATCTGGAATTTAAAATGTCTGTCTTTGATTTTAGCTGGGGAAATTCTAAAGATGTCTGGTTCAACATTCTCAAAAAGGAGAACAAATATTCTCACTGTAAGCATTTCACATCTCTACACTCCAACTTGCAGCCGCACATGAGATCAATCCTATTGGACTGGCTTCTGGAGGTGAGTATTGAACTTATAAATGTAATGTGTGTATAAAGGACAGTCCTGAGAAGTAGCAAGACCGACCCAGAATGCTTCCTCCCTCCCCCTTTTAAGTATTATGCTTGTTTATATTCTGCTTTTCCAAATTGTGCTGAAAGCAGCTCACAAGGTTAGTCAGCATATCAATATATAGCAGGGGTCAGCAAGGTTTATCGTGTCTGGCCCGGATCAGTCCCACAGAGATCCGTCCGTGGGCCGGATTGGTGTGCATGTGAGTGCATGAGCCCACGATTTTCGGCATCTGCACGTGCGCAGATGCGATTTTCGGTGCCGCAGAAGCGAGTCTCCACACCGTGCTGGTTTAGCGCAGCGCACGAGCGGGCAGCTCAGTTCAGGGGCGGCTCGGGGGCCAGTCAAACAACCTCCACAGGCCACTTCTGGCCCATGGGCCTTAGGTTGCTGACCTCTGATATATAGGCACAACAAAAACATAGGCATAAATATATCCCCTGCTGAATTACAACTTTTTAAAAATGTTTTGTCTCGCTGTTTGTAGTATAGTGACTGTGAAATAAACAAAGCTTATTCTGTAACAGGTATGTGAAGTATACACGCTCCATAGGGAAACTTTCTACTTGGCACAAGACTTTTTTGACAGATTCATGCTGACTCAAAAGAATTTAAACAAAACCATGCTTCAGCTCATAGGAATTACAACCCTGTTCATTGCTTCCAAGCTTGAGGTAAGTAGCTGTCATTGAAACCATTTTGCCGTTGACAATATAGCATTTTAAACCCATAATTGTGCTGCATGTCCTTTACAGACAAAGGCCCATCCCAGTATAGTAGCTGAAGAAGAAATGGGTCTTTTTTCTTTTGATTAAAGTAGTTTGGCTTATTACTGAGGAAAATGGAAGGACTGAGTTGCAGAGTTTGCACACTGAAAGAGCAGCTCTTGGACGTGTGTGTGTGTGTGCTCACAAATGATAGCCCTAATTGCCATTATCAAATAGCTGCCTGTGTTCTTAGCCCTCAGAGTTCTTACTAGGATTCTGATCACGGGGAAATGCATCCCTCAGTAACTGAAGGCTAGGAGTTTCCTAATACTTAGCTGAGACTGAACACTTTATTTTGTATCCTTTCTGCTTTACAACTTGCCTTTTCACCAAGAACCTCAAGGTGACCTGCATCGTTTCCCCCATTTTATTCCCACAACAACCCTGTTAAGCTGAGAGGTGGTGACTGGTGTAAACTCCCGCAGTGAACTGAATGGGGGTTTGAACCCTGGTACTCACAAGGGACGCGGGTGGCGCTGTGGTCTAAACCACTGAGTCTAGGGCTTGCCGATCGGAAGGTCGGTGGTTCGTAGCTCAGTCCCAGCTCCTGTCAATCTAGCAGTTCGAAAGCACATCAAAGTGCAAGTAGATAAATAGATACTGCTCCAGCGGGAAGGTAAATGGGGTTTCCGTCCACTGCTCTGGTTTCGCCAAAAGCGGCTTAGTCATGCTGGCCTCATGACCCGGAAAAACTGCAGACAAATTTCGGCTCCCTCGGCCAGTAAAGCGAGATGAGCGCCGCAACCCCAGAGTCGTTTACGGCTGGACTTAACTGTCAGGGGTCATTTACCTTTACCTTTTTACTCCCAATTCTAGTCAGAAACTCCAACCACTACCACACTGGCTTTTGCTAAGACTTGCTAAAAGAAGAGCACCGATATGTATGCCTAGCAGGCCAAACATGTCAACATCCTTTGAATAATGCAACATGTTTTCGTTGTAAACTTCACCATCTTTTAATGCACTCTATGGGCCGGGCCTGTACATCTTAAAATGTTTCAATTAAGCTGGCAACTGATGAGATCTGTAAAGATCTCAAGCACAGCTTAGGTTGGGGACATGGTAAAGGACTTGGTTCTAATGGTCTGGCTTCAAATTTCACCTCTGACTCCTGCTTTGTGACAGTGGTGCTTTGCAAGTCAGACCTGGGCAAGTGAGTGGTTCAGTGAAGAAGCTTTTAGACTATCCTTGGCCTTAGGATTTCATGGCGTTGCCAGTGAACTCATAATATGAGACTTTGCACAGTAGTGCCACTTGTGTGAAGTTTCTTCTCCATGTGTGGGGATCAGTGCATAACCGTAGTGGCTGAGGATCTATCTCAGCGAGTGCTTGGCTCTTTGCTTTTTCAAGTGCTTGCCCACTCCTACATGGAAACAAGGATTTGCAGCTGAGCCTATAAGTTGGCATGCTAATGGCTGCTCTCCCATGGGTGGTAACAGGAGCCTAAAAGCATCTGAATCTAATTTGTGAAATTGAAATAGCTGTGGTATGCAGAATAGGGTTGTAGGAGAATGGATCAACAAGTCTGTAAACCCTGTTGGATTTGCTGTGGTTTGTTCTAACATTCTGTCTTTTTCTTCTTCCTTTAAGGAGATTTATGCTCCCAAACTACAGGAATTTGCCTATGTTACTGATGGTGCTTGTAGTGAAGATGATATTATAAGAATGGAGCTCATTATATTAAAGGTAACAAAATGAAGATGCTGACCATTTTAGCACATATTTAAGAGTCTGCATCCTAGGAATTACTCTATTGGATGGGTAGCTAACATGGTGCCTTCCAGATGCTTTAAGTGCAGTTCCTATTACTCTGACCATTGGCCATGCTAGCTGCTCTTGATGGAAATTGAAGTCCAAAACATCTGGGGGGGGGGTGTTATCACATTTGCTCCTCCTACTCTATTGGCTTCTTAGGCAGAGCAGATCGTATTTATTTATTAGCAATGTCTCCAAAATTTGGAACCTGACTCTGATGTATACTGTGAAAGCTGCTTGGATACACTCTGTGAAAAGAGTGGATCCATTTTAAGCTTTGTATTTTACAGAAGATATTTCATGACCACCATCTCAGGGCTGGAAAGAGTTGGAGCTATGTATAAAGCAGCTAAACATCTCATGCCAGTGTATACATCCTGGAATGCTCTAACAGTACCCTCTGGGATAAGAGAATTGCCTGTGACTTGAGCAACTTTACTTGATTTTACATAAGAACTGGTTTTGCTTGGCATTCTCAGAATGGGAGTGCTTAATCGGAGGCTTGTTGCCAGTACCAGGAGAGGGCACTGGGATCTTGTACATATTTTCAGGCAGGAATGGGGTATCTGTGGCCCTCCAGATGTGTTGATGGGAGTTGGAATCCAGCAACGTCTAGAGGGCAACACAGGCTCTCTATTCCTGATTTAGGGCATTGTGCAAGGGTTAAGTCTTGCAGAGCAGTAGAAGAAAAGACCGAGTGGATTTCTGTATCATAGGATAGCATGAGGGGAGGGCTCACAACTTAAATTCTGCTTCATTCTACACAAAGAATGCTGAGCATGTTGGGGAGAAGGAAAAAATAGAGAACTGTTCTCCCTGACGCGTCAGTGATACAGTGCAGAAACAGTTCTGCACACTGCTGTGTGAGAACTTGTGCAGGGTTTTGGGCTGCATGAATAAAAGTTTACTTGCTAAGTTTGTAGATGTAGGCATCATGCCCTAAAACCTTTGTTATGATGTTCACACACATGTAGGCTCTAAAGTGGGAGCTGTGCCCAGTAACGATCATCTCTTGGCTGAACCTTTATCTCCAAGTGGATGCTCTGAAAGATGTCCCAAAGGTGCTGCTACCTCAGTATTCTCAGGAAAAGTTTATTGAAATAGCACAGGTAAGTTCCTATTCCAGCACATCTGGTGCATAAGAGCACCATACAGATATATAGATGCAAGATTTCAGCTCAGGTAGACAACTTGCAGGGTTCATGTTTGAACACCAGGAAGATGACATTGAGGTACAGGGCAAGAATCAAGTGATGGAAATTTCTTCAGTGCTTGATCATACAGCTGTCTCCAGCGGTGGTCTCCCACAGACGACTTGAAAATTGTGAAGGGTCTTGGCAGACCACGTAAATGATTTTTTTGCCTGTTGGAGCAATTGTGCTAGATGCTGTATTATTTTTAATTGTATTTTAATTCGAGCTTTTCTTATGTATTGCATTGTAATACAGTAAAATGCAGAATAAGAGAACATGCTTGTTGCATTGGTTATAAAGCCTGTATGATATAACCCCACACCCACCCACCCCGCTTCAAAATATATGGAGGTACCCAGTTCACCTGGCCTCTGGATGATTCAAAGCAGTGCTTGGTTGCAAACAAATTATAAGATGAGAAACCTTTAGTGCAGCACATCGAGCCCTTGGCAAGTGAATACATAAGACAATTGGTTTGGATTCTAAAATGTGATGAGGAATCTCATGAGCTAGCATCAGTGCAGTGTTGATCTCGAGGACTCGGGACGATTATGTGAGACTGTAGTTTGCAAATGTTTTCCAAATACATTTGATCTTAATTCAGTTAAAATATTTTTAACATCTGGATTTTATTAAATTAATTCGTCCTTTGGATAGCCCTACTCAGACACAATAGTCTTAAGTGTTATGAGGAACCTCCGTCTATCAGCTCAAGTAACATAAGCTTAGTGAAACTGGTGCTATTCCTAATCTTGCACCCTCGTAATCCAAGCAATGGACAAGCAGCCATCCATCATGGATGCTTTAGTTGAGATTCCTGCATTGCAGGGGACTGGATTAGATGACCTTCAGCATCCCTTCCAACTCTGATTCAGTGAGTTACTTCAGCTTGTAGTGATTAGCTATCAAATACGAGATTGGTTATAAGCACGTATTTATACTAATAAATGTTGGTTTTCCTTCCTTGCAGCTTTTAGATCTATGTATTCTAGATGTCAATTCTTTGGATTTCCAGTATAGAATATTGGCGGCGGCTGCACTCTGTCACTATACCTCAGTACATGTAGTTACAAGAGTCTCAGGTAAGATGGAGCATCTTTTTTGTTGTTACTCAGGTTTTCATGTCCTGGCTATTGTAAGATGTCTGAGGCTGCAATAAATATGTGGGCATGCAAACTGGCACATAAATAAATATGTGGGCATGCAAACTGGCACAAACTGGCTTTTTATTTTAGAAATAAAGCACAAGCAGGGCTCCTCAACAATATTGTATCACTGGTGTGTTACCCGATATTGTGGTTGAGGGGGCTGTTGGCTCAGGATTGAAAGGGGTCGTTCTCACTCTCTGGAGGGTTAGTTATGGAGCCTGCTCACAAATTGTGTCTGTGTACTTCTCAATAGGCTATTTTTTCCCTCTGTTTCCTCCCTTGCACCTCTGCCCTTAGCTCATGCTATCTCATAACTCTGCTGCCCCTTGAGCTTTCTCGCATTTAATCGTGCTACATTAAATTTTGAATTCTAGGGTTACCTCTCACTTTATCCCTGGGCACATTTAAAAATTGCCTACCCAAACAATGGGATTTTTCCTGTCTTTTACACAACGTCTCTTCATCCTGTTCTGTTCCATTTCTCTCCTCCATGTGCAAACTGTGATTACTCCAAGCATGATAAGATTAATGAGAAACAAGAGGGCGTTTTATCTGCAGTTGTCACTAGCTGAGTCTATTAGGAGTTATCCTTGGACATGCTGGGTACTACTTTATTCCTTTGCAATAGGAATAAGAATTGCTAGATCCTCTTGCCAGCACACCAGCCACTATCTTGGAAATAATATTTGGTAATATCTTGCACTTATGCTCATCTAGCTTCGCTGGGCTGTGGCTGTTTATATCTGAAACAAGGCATATTAAACTCTGCACAAGGTTCAAAGTTTCAGAAATGCACAGTAGTGGTGAAACCAAGGGGTTCATGACTGTTGTTTTCTAGTTTTGAGGTTGCCTTGAGTCTGAAACTGATGGCCAATAATGAAACTGAAAGCTATTTCAGCGAGCGCAAGAACGTTAAGCTGTGAATGAGAGAAGCTAGAAACTGAAAATCTTGCCTCTGCCATGAACTCAGTAGTTGGCCTGGAAATCTACTGTTCCAATAGATTTGTTCTAGCATTATTGGCTTAGTAATATACGCAGAGTGCCATATAAATACTTAAAGGCTTTTATTTGTAATCATGTAATTTTATTTACATTCTGTCCAACTGTTTATGTAAAATATCAAGTGTAGCTCTTGTATGTTGTAGAGCAGTGAATACGCATTATGAAGACTTCAACTCAAAATTTCTCTTTTATTATTAGGCTTGGAGTGGGACAGTATTGCAGAATGTGTAGAGTGGCTAAAACCGTTTCTTAAGGTTGCAAAAAAATCACCAGTGAAACTAAAGAATTTTAAGAAAATTGCAGCAGAAGACAGGCATAATATACAGACGCACACAAACTACTTGGATATGCTGGTGAGTTGTTTCTCCCACTCTGAGTTTCATGTTGTACCTCTGAGTGTTAAAGTAATGTCACGTATCTTGCCCACTTCCAGTGTAAAAGTTATTTGGGCTGGCAAGACATATTTGTATAGCACTACAGAGATGTTTAAAGAAATTGGTTCAAGGTCAGTAGCTAGTGAGTTCTGGGCCAGATCCAGCTGCTTCCTTCTCCACTTGAGCTGGTCCAGGACAAACCTCTGACCCTTAGAGTGTTTCATGTTTTAAAAGACCTATCGTCCCTGACCATGTCCATACTGACTAGGGCTGTAAAGACAGTGATGTACATTTTTGGCAGTTAATATAGTTGCATTAGAAAGTAAAACTAATGTATAAGGATAACTGAAATTTGAAGATGCATCTAGTTTTAAATACATGAACACAATAAGAAATAAGCTGTGTTGGAACAGTAGTACAGTTGGTCTTTTATCAGTAGACAGACATACTGTAAACAGAACCAATGTGCCCCCAACTCAGACTAGGTGGGCTACTGGCTTGATCCAACAGGGCTATTTTGACCAGTCACTAGGCTTGTTTAAGGGCAATGGGGTAGGGGTGGATACATGAACCATGTATGTCCCCTTACCCTCCTGGAGAAAAAGGAAGGAAATTCTTGCCATTTGCATGAAAGATGCAGACCATGAGACGAGGAGAGGGCACCCTAGCTGTACCAGTTCCTTTTCAAGGAAAGGGGGACTATATGTAGGAATGCAAGGGAGCAATTTTCTGCCTTTGAGTCCACAGGCAAAAACTCTCATGAAGGAATGTGCTCTGAACCATAGGGGAATAGCAAAGCAGAAATTGCTTGGTTTACCATTTTGGTGCATTAATTTAAATATTAATAGGATGAAGTCAACTATGAAGTAGCTGTTGCAGCACCAGGCCAGCTATCACCGGTGTCTACAGGAGGAATAATTACCCCACCCAAGAGTTCTGAAAAATGAAATCTCTGCACAACAGGAGTGTGTGCCAACCTGAACAATATTGTAAGACTGTTGGAAAATACATCCTGGACTTTTTACACTTGACAAGTGGTTGGGAAGACTATCAAAAGGAAGCTCACATTCAACTTTACTGACTTTGCAGCCCAGTAAAGAACAGACTATGAATTAACTGTTCAGCAGTCAGAATGAACTACACATTTTTAACCTGTTGAATGGCCTCAAGTAACTGAGTTTTTTGATACCTGTGGGTAAGTGTGCCAGTGGTTTAGCTATGTATGAACTTAAGATATACTTTTCTGCTGACTTCTGTTGAAAGCACATTGTACAGTCAACTTCTACACTCAACAGCATTAGTCAGATTTTAGAAGCCTGCATAGCAGTGTAACTGCTACTGGGAGATCAATCTTGCTACTATACTTGTGTAGTATAGCTATGAGATAAGGTGAAACTGGTTTTAAGCATTGGCATAGGAAAGTGGGGGTGAGAAGAGGCTGCAGTTAAACATTGAAACTACTTCTAAAATCAGCAGGCAACTTAAACAACCAGCATGTAACTGGAACAACACCTGCTTTACCGTGAATAAATGTCACATACTACCTCTTTCCTCATGAGGTGCTATCTTTCCTTTTATACAAGAAAAGCTGCCACAAAGGGTGAAAAAACAAACAGGTGAAGTTAAGACTGTTCTGCAACAGCTTAAGTACTACGGAGAGTCATGCTCTGTCCAAGGTAGTTTACTGTCCCTCTTTATGCCAGCTTGCATTACAAAAGCTAACCCGCTTCTGTATAATCTTGTAAAAAGAAAGGAAGAATTTTTAAGTTTTCTAAATAGGAAGATGCCACACAGTATGTTTATAAATTTGTAAAAAAAAAAAGGTCTTATGCGTTAATAAAGTGTTGGAAATAACTTGCAGCTGCCATCATTTATCTTGCTCTCTTAGAAATGGTGCTCTAAAAGTAAAGCTTTGCCATTGCTTGAAGAAACTTCTTTTTCCGCCTTTGAGCAGCAAGTTGCAGCACTTCTTCTGGATTACTGGAATTCAGCTCAGTCTGCCCAATAGCTTTAATCTAAGTATTGAAACAAGCATCAACATAAGTTAGTACTGGCAATAAGCAAGTTCTGAGAATCGTTTCAGTGTTTTATATGCAATGCATATTGTTTATGTAATGGCTGCACAGAAGAAAGCACATAGTAGCAAAACTTAAACAGCAACTTACTGCTATTTGCTTCTTGTCTGTCTCTCCTCGCTTATGATGAAGGTCTGAAACACAATTAAGGAAACCTAGAAATACAGTGAGCAGGACTTTATATAGACAGTTTTCACATCCTTTAGCCTCTCACAATTATTAAATACTCCTATGAATGGAAGTTCTGCTTTATTATCTTTTTCATCTTAGTAAAATAAACCATTTTAAAATGTCATTAATACAACAAAATAGAATCGTGGAATCATACAGCAGAAAAAATAAGGTGAAGTTTATATACTTTGATGGAAAGAATCCTTCTGTGAGCACAATTCAACAGTATAAGCCACCCTGGTTTTCAAACCAATCCCACTTGGCTGTTTTTATAAAAGGATACATGTCAAGTATTCCAAGATGGTAATATCCCAGATGTAGTCATAATAGGAGTCCATTGCATCATGGCTAAGAAAGAAATCTTAGTTAATGTATGTCAATACATTCAAATGCACAGTATGTGGAAATTTAAAACCTTGCTTACCTGTTTTGCTCCTGAAGTGCTTTAAATGCAGTTTTATAATCTATTTCTCTAAGAAACTGGCACAAAATGGCTACCTAGAAAAATTGAGAGTTGATAAAATGTAACTATGTCACTAACTCCAGATAAGGGAGGCTCCTATTTCATTTATATTATACTGCAGTGTATATTATACTATACAAGTCTGTGTTTTATTCTAGCAGACTTGTATTGGTAGGACTTGTTTCTAGGTACACAGCGGATATATGCCTTACCTGCGTATGGCAGTTGAGCAGAGAACAACATTTTATCATTCGTTTTATCACCTGGAGAGAAATGGATATACCATTTTTAGTAAGTCTATAATGTATCCAATCATCTGAGATAATCATCTGATACTCCAGATACAACTAACCCCTCCACAAAGCACTTAGCCTGCTACTTTTTTGGCTGAAGCTAGCAATAAAGTAACAGAGCAAATATATCTGGCAACTATATCAATTATCGTTTTGCTCAACATGAATTTCTACAGGCTTCTGGTTTACCTAGAACTAGGTTTCTTTGGCTCTGGAACTGCTCAGAGCCTAGGGAAACCCATCGACTGAACTTGTGTTATCAAACTTTGAAAACCAGAGCCCTATTTTATGTTGAAGCGGAACATCTTTTGCTTGTTCGCTGACATGTAACTCACCTGATCTGTATATACATCTGGCGGTACCATTTTAGTAAAGAAATCCGAACACACAGCTCCTGCCTGAAGATAGTAGTGAAGAGCAGCAGAGTACTGATTGGTTGCTGCATTGGGGAGAGAGCAATAAAAACAAGCAGTAAATGCCACACTAATTCACTAAGCATTTATTTCAATTTCTATCCTGACTCTTTTGAAACAGCATGCAGTAGGTAAGATTAACTGAAGACAGCAGTAAAAGGTAAAGGGATCCCTGACCATTAGGTCCAGTCATGACCGACTCTGGGGTTGCGGCACTCATCTCGCCTTATTGGCCGAGGGAGCCGGCATACAGCTTCCGGGTCATGTGGCCAGCATGACTAAGCCGCTTCTGGCGAACTAGAGCAGTGCACGGAAACGTCGTTTACCTTCCCGCCGGAGCGGTACCTATTTATCTACTTGCACTTTGACGTGCTTTTGAACTGCTAAGTTGGCAGGAGCAGGGACCAAGCAACGGGAGCTCACCCCGTTGTGGGGATTCGAACCGCCGACCTTCTGATCGGCAAGCCCTAGGCTCTGTGGTTTAACCCATGCAATCTAATGGCAACTAAGGAAGCAAGGTAAAAACAAATTTTCAGTAAGAGTCTAGTCAGGCTTCCTCAAACTCGGCCCTCCAGATGTTTTGAGATCACAATTCCCATCATCCTGACCACTGGTCCTGCTAGCTAGGGGATCATGGGAGTTGTAGGCCAAAAACATCTGGAGGGCCAAGGTTGAGGAAGCCTGGTCTAGTAAGGCCTACATTTCTGTACTGGCTGTGGAGGAAAGAAGATTCCTTTCTGCATGGAAAGTGCAGCTACAAACCTTTTATAATAATAATAATAAATAATAAACCTTTATTGTCACTACACCACCTGTGTGCAGTGAAATTAAACCTTCTAAGCAGGCTGGTAACCTGTTTATTTTTGAAGCTGCTCCAAATCTTTCCTTCTATCTTACATAACAAGATATATATGTGTGTGTGAAGACAGCCAGCAACACAAATGAAAGAGTGAGAGGAAGAAGGTCATTCAACTTACCAAAATAAATATCCGCTTGAATGATTAACCAGAAGTGATTATTTGAATTTACAGTCAGTGCATAACTGACCAACTCTTTGATAGTAACAGCTACAGCTTCAAAATCCACTGACTGCAAGCTGAAAAGACAAAACATTTTATAACATTCGTCACCTACTTTTAAACTGAAAGTGTAGCGCTTAAATTTTAAAGATGTAATTAAACTCCCACATCGTCATGCACTATTTAAACACATTTCCTGTGTATGATTAAAGTACCCCAGGATCACAGAAATACCACCACTTGGGCATGTTAAGTGTGATCAGGAAGAAGCCAGGCTGCAGCAAGAGCCACTTCATTTTTGTCTGCAGCTGGTGCACAATTTGGCAGCCAGGTTGCTCACCAGGGAATATGGTTTGAGCATATTACACTGATCCTGGCCTGACTGCACTGGCTGCCAATTCATTTCTGGGCCCAATTCAAAGTGTTGGTTTTGACCTATAAAGCCCTAAATGGCTCAGGACTGCAATACCTCAAGGACCGCCTCTCCCCATATAAACTGACCCAGACTCTGAATTCATCATCTGAGGCCCTTCTTCATGTGCCCCCACCACAGAGGGTGGAAACATAAGAAAAGGTCTTTTCTGATTAATATTCTAGGTAAAGGTACCCCTGCCCGTACGGGCCAGTCTTGACAGACTCTAGGGTTGTGCGCCCATCTCACTCTATAGGCCGGGGGCCAGCACTGTCCGCAGACACTTCCGGGTCACGTGGCCAGCGTGACATCGCTGCTCTGGCGAGCCAGAGCCGCACACGGAAACGCCGTTTACCTTCCCGCTAGTAAGCGGTCCCTATTTATCTACTTGCACCTGGGGGTGCTTTCAAACTGCTAGGTTGGCAGGCGCTGGGACCGAACAACGGGAGCACACCCCGCCGCGGGGATTCGAACCGCCGACCTTTTGATCGGCAAGCCCTAGGCGCTGAGGTTTTTACCCACAGCGCCACCCGCGTCCCGGATTAATATTCTACAGCTTTTTAAATGTGTTTGTGGAAAGGGGGGGTTATTGATTTCTTTGTTTCTGTTTCAACTAATTGTTTGTGCTTTTATCTTGTATTTTGTGAACTGCCCTGAGATCTTTTGAAGATGGGTGGTGTGTACATCTGAAGAAGAATACACTCTCATTACAGTGGTCTAGTCACACAGGAAAGAAGTCATGTGCAGTTTCCCACTTCATTAATTCTCCTATTCTCCCTCACCATTATCAGCCAGGATTAAATAACTCTCTTTCCAACTGTTCAGAATGCATTTCACAGCCATTCCAACAAAACACCTCAACCAGGAGATACATAGAGCAGACAGGGATTCCATTATTGGTGTTATACTGGCTCCAGGCTTAAAGATGTACAGTTACCATCCTACACGATGCACTGCCAAAACTGGCTTGAGCCACCCTAGGAAGGATGGGGAATTGCCCCATAATGTTCCTTAGATATTCATTTGTCATAGTCTCTCCAAGCTGATCATTATCCAGTTCCCCTAACAAACCCAGAGTCCTCCTCAGGCATCACCCGCTGTCACATAAGCTTTAAGAAAGGCTCGTTAACACATGAGAGTAGTTAGTCAAGCACAACCAAAAGGTACCAAGCCCTAAATATTCTAGATTTAACAAACAGACATTGCTCTCTCCGGGGAAAACAGAATGGGAGGTGTAGTTCCTTGCATAATTGACAGGAAAGCCATTTTATTCTTTAAAATGGAAGGTGCAGAGTTGCTCCTGAAAGACTGTTAAAATATAATTGCCATAGTTTTCGCTCCATAAGACGCGCCTGACCATAAGACGCACCTAGTTTTTAGAGGAGGAAAGGGGGAAAGCCCTGTTTTTGGGGGATCAGCTCACAGTTGTGCAGCTTCTTTTGCAGAGGGGAAAAGCCCCCCCCCCCGTTTAAGATCAGCTCAAAGTTGTTGAGCTTTTCACAGTTCACAGTTCTGTAGCTTCTTTAGGAAAGGAAAGGGAGCTGTTTCCAGACAGATAATCAGCCAGTCAGCAGAACATTCAACAATGGAGGCCTGGGCAAGGGGGCGGGGCCAGAAAGGGAGCCAGCGATCAACCACACATTCGCTCCACAAGACGCACAGACATTTCCCCTTACTTTTTAGGAGGAAAAAAGTGCGTCTCGAGGAGCAAAAAATACGGTAACACATAGACAACCCTTGAAACAAGACACTCAGGACCAAGAAGCAATCTGCAAATCCCCAGAAAAGCACATTTCGCAATTATAATTGGAGCAAAAACAATTTTCTTACTTAGGAATGGATGACGGCCAAATAGAAATATGTTCTGCGGTAATATCATTCACAATGTCTTCCTAGAAGAGGAAAGAATATGATATGGGAAATGAGTCCGAGAAGTAGACAACAAAGTCAAATATTTATGATAAGAAGAGTACTGCACTTACCCGAACATTATGAAGCTTGACAAACA